GGGGGCTGGAGAGATGGCTCAGAGGTTAAGAGCACTGGCTGCTCTTCCAGAGGTCCTGAGTTCAATTCCCAGCAACCACACGGTGGCTCACAACCATCTGTACTGAGATCTGGCGCCCTCCTCTGGCGTGTGGGCATACATCAAGGCAGAATGTTGTATACATAATACATAAATCAAAAAAAAAACATCTAGAATTCACAACAAATTTGCCCACTAACATATACATCAGTAAGGAAATGCAAAATTCAAGCAACAGGAATGCCACTAAGTCATAATTTCCAAGACTTGTAATGTCACAGGAACAATTTCAGAAATAACATGTATCATGCATTCAATTCAAGGTAATTTTAAAATGACTTATATATACAGGTCATTTCCTTCTTCCATGTAACAAACTGTCACAATACAGAGTAATAAGAGGCTGGGTATGTGGCTCACTGGTAAGTGCTTGTCTAGCATGCACACACAGCCTACGACAGGATTCTCAGCTCCAAATAAATCGGGTGTGGTAGTACAGGCCTCCCTAGTGCTAGGGAGGCAGAGGCAAGAGGATCAGAAATCCCAGGTAGTCTTCTGCTACTCAGTGAGTTCAAGGCCAGTGAAAATATACAATGGTAGACATACTGCAGATATCTGTAACCCCAAACCTACAGAGTTTAGGATGACAGGAAGATGACAAGCTCCAGGCCAACTTGGGACCAACTAAATCTGTCACAAACAAACAATCAGGGGGAGAAGAGAGGGTTGGAGCAACAAAATTAAAAGCATCCTGAATTGGATTTTCAGCACCACATGGCAGCTCAAAACCTTCTGCAACTCCAATTTCACAGGATCCAATGCCCTCTTCTGGCCTCTGTGGGCACTAGGAATGTACATAGTGCACAAACCTACATGCAGGCAAAAGACCCACAAACACTGAAAAAACAAAAATAAAAACATAAAACAGGGTTGGGGATGTAGATCAGTGACAAAATAGCTGTCTTGTTTGCAAGGCTGGGCCAGGTCCCCAGCACTCTCCATCATCATCATAGCCACCCCTGTAGAAGCAACTGAAACACATTGCTCGTGTGCTAGTGTATCAAAAAATAAATAAATAAAAAGTGTTAACTCTGAAGTTTTCTCGTTCAGAACCTAAGGGATGTTCACTGAGGGAATGCTTCCTGCTTGCGCCTGTGACTCACTTGCAAAGGCTCTCCCAAGACTGCTGGATCTTTGACAACTCAGAAAGCCTAACTGGGACAGGCTGTGAAGGAAGCATCATGAGACAGTGAATGAATAAAACGGGAAAGAACCCAGGACCAAAAAAAAAATTAAGTTTTCCTAAGCCACGTGTGCCTGTCCACACCTAGAATCCCAGCCCTGGGGAAGTCAGGAGGAGGATGGTGAGGACCTGGGCTGACACAAGCTACATACATATTGAGACAAGAAATCAACAAATTCCAGAGCTGGAGAGATGTCTCAGTGGTTAAGAGTACCAGCTGCTCTTCCAGAGGACAAGGGTTGGATTCCTACATGGTGGTTCACAGCCATCCACCACTCTAGTTTTGGGGAGTCCCATGTCCTCTTCTAAACTCTGAGGGAACCACACAAGTATATGGTGAACACACAAACATTCAGAAAAAAATTCATACCCATAAAATAAAATAAATCTAAAATAATTTTTAAAGAAATAAATTACTAGAAAAGAGAAGAAAAATCACCCCAGCTCTGAGAACCTCCCTTCTCTCTCCAGGTTGGACAAATGAACTTATTGTACTACAATAAGCAACTGATTTTCTTGTCTGGCTTTCCAAACAGGCTCTAGCCAACTTTTAGATAAGAAGTTGTCCTTAGAATCATCAGTACCTCCTTCCTTAAGTACCCAACACATAGAGGGGGGCTATTAATAGATGCTTTATTGAAGAGACCATCTTCTATTTTCCTTGTACTGTACTTTTCTTAAAGCCAGGGTCTCATTATGAAGTCCAGACTAGCCTGGAACTTGGTAAGTAGCCCAGGGTGGCCTAGAAAACAGAGATTCACCTACCTATACCTCATGAGTGCTGAAATCAATGGCCTGCATTATCATGACCACTATTCTACATATTTCAAAGTATACATTTTTCAGAGCGCTTTCACAAACATTATCTTTTTATCTACTTTACGATCTTGTAAAGAGGGAACACCATTATTGAACCAAGCGGCTTTAGGCTTTATAAAGAATTGCTAATTCACTAAGACACCCTGAAAACACATGATTACGCACTCTTCACCTCTAGGTCTGTCTTTCTTTGCCTGCTCTTTACAGAAGGCAGCTATCACACAGCTACATAAAATGATATTTGATAAAGCCCTTCCAGAAATCAACATGAAGAAGCACCCTAGGGCTAGAGATGGCTCAGTGGTTGAAAGTGCCTGTTGCTCTTGCAGATCCAAGTTCAACGCCTAGTATCCATACCAGGTGGCTCACAACTGCCTGGAACTCCAGCTCCAGATACATGGATTAGCTCTATCCCTGTCCCTCTCTTTCTTTCTGTCTTTCTCATGCGCAGGCACACACGCACACATTTTTTAATAAAAATTTAAAAAAAAAAAAAAAAAAAAAAAAAACCAGGGGCTGGAGCAAAGTTCAGCAGTTAAGAGCTTCTAGAGGACCAGGATTCAATTCCCAGCACCCACATGGCAGCTCACAACTGTCTACAACTCCAGTTCCAGGGGATCCATGGCACCAGGCATACACATGGTACACATAAATGTGCATGCATGCAGAAGCCAGGCAGTGGTGGTGCACGTCTTTAATCCCAGCACTCTGGAGGCAAAGACAGGTGGATCTCTGTGAGTTCAAGGCCAGCCTGGGCTACTAGAGCTAGTTCTAGGACAAGCTACAAAGCTACAAAGAAACCCTGTCTCGAGATAAAACAAACAAACAAAAAAATGCATGCAGACAAAACACCTGTACACATAAAATGACTTCTATATTTTTTTAAAAAAGTATCCTCAGCTGTTTTTCCTAATCTTTCTCTTTTTGTACACAAGACAGGTAAGGAAATAAAGCTGAAACAATGCCACGGAGTTCCATCAAGACCTGATGATTACGTAGCACAGCAATGTAGCAGATGACGCCAAGGAACCACTGCTGACTCCAGGTAACACGCAGAATGATCCTCTGATTTCCTACTTCTAGGTCAAGTCTACAGCTTTAGCAAAGATACTGAGGAAATCTACACATTTCTATAGAAAACGTTGATTTAGGAAAGGGGGGATAGCCAAAGAATTAGCTAATATTAAATGAAGTAATTGTCATTTTAACTTAATAGTTGTCCTTAAAAGCTGGCTGAAGTGCAAAAAACACTCAAGGCTCAGTGTAGATTGAATGTTATATTAAGTTGGGTTTATCTAAAGCAAACAGTTATAGGATATAAACTGATCAACATGCAACAGAAGAGACACCCAGCCACACTAGACAACTGAATAAGCTCAGTTAGAAATCTGACAGAGAACATCCCTGTCCAGCTTAAGAGCTACAGACTGAATTCTAAGTGATGGTGTCTCCGGCAATTTCCCTTGTCCCTTTAAATCCATGATGTCATCATTCTTAAGCACAAGCAAAGCCCGATTTGTTACAAAAGACGCTTGGTGTATCCAAGCAAAAGAGATGGTCCCAACAATTCACAGGAGCACAATTCCAGCTGAAGCCATTCTTCCTCACTAAAAAGGCCACCAGGCATCAAACCGACTTCTCTACCCGAAAAACAAAACCAAAGTCACTCAATTACTAGCGTTTCAACAACAACAAAAAGTTGTTCCAAGAAAAACAACAACAAAATAGTACAGTGTTGCCTCCAGCAAGTGAAAACCGGCTATATGTCTGGTTCTGCACCTAGATCCACCGGAAGGCTACCAAAGAAAAGTACAAACATTGTGGCCATTGAGAAACGAAACGAAGCGTTTATTTTCCAGAAGATCCAACAGACAAAGCAATCGGTTGTTCCAAAGGTTTCGAACCAATTCCAGCATCTGAAGTTTCTTGGCTGAGATTATTAGGATCTCACCCAATTGTTGTCTCGGGATCTACGAACCCGCTCCCACCCTCCACAGTTCTGAGCAGACAATTCTCACCAGGGCAAGCCTTCCTCAGTCACAACGTGGACTGCTGTCTCCAGCAAGGAGAGCCGCAGTTCCCACTCCTAAGAGAACACCCAAACGGCTAGGGGTCAGGAAAGGAACTGCTTGGGTTTCAATTCGTCAGCCGATTCCAAAAAAATCATTTCTCTGCAGCTGCAGCTTCCGAGACGCCGGCCCCTCGCTGCCGCAACCCCAATTCGGGAGGGCAGCCGTCTCCCGCTCTTCTCCGAGGACTTAAGGGTTTCAGGGGGGCGGGGTGAGGCTCGATGACACCCCGAAAGCCATTCTTGCCCTGGCCACGCATCCTCTCCCGGCCCGGGTGAGGACCAGAACCGCCCTGCTGAGGAGAGGGCACAGGTCTGCACCCATCCCCACCTCAGCCAGGGGAAGCGAGAATGACGACAGCAAGCCCCCAGGCCCGCCAAGACCTACGCCCGTGCAGGACACCGAGCCCGCGCCGGATTCGGGGTGTCCCGGGTTCCCCGGGCATAAAGCGCAGGAGGCGTCGGCACCCGGCTGCGGCCCCGCACCGGGAGAGGCCTCACCTGGCCCAGCCCGCTCCGCGCTCTCGGCTTGGCGTCTCCGGAGACGATGGCGAAGGAGCCAGGGCCAGGGCCAGAGCACAGCCGCTCTGCCTGAGGCCGGTGCTTGCCGTGCTCGGGGAATCTTCACGGCTGGCGGGATCCGGGACCGCCCGGAGCCGCCATCTTCCGCCACTCAAACGCCGCCGCGGCTACCACCGTCGACGCCGTCCCCGATGCCGACGCTGCCGCCGCCGCCACCGCCGCTGCTCAGGCTGGGAGAAGACAGCGCGCAGTACGCATGCGCCGGGGCGGGGCGCAGAGGAAGCGCGCGCGCGCGCACACACGTCAGCGCGGCTGGCCTACGCGCAGTGGCCGCTGGGCGGCGCCATATTGAGAAGGGCGACAGGGAACGCAGCATTCCAGCGCTCTGTCTGGAATAGCCCGGCGGCGCGGGTACCTGGACTATTTTCCTGTTGGTTTGACACTATAAAGACTTGTCAGATTAAGTCATTTGTGCCCCAGGGTAACCACTGAGCACAGAGAAGGGCAGTGACGAATGGCAGTGCTTTTTGACGTCGCCAGAGAGAGTCTTCTCACCGCGTTAGACGCCTTTGGAAACTGGAGCAACAGCTATGCTGCTACCACCCTTTTTTTTTTTTTTTTTTTTTTTTTTTTTTTTTTTTTAATAAATGAGGAAACCCAGGCTCAAAACTACGCACGTGGAGCAGGGGCCCGGGAGGAAACAGGCCTTTCTCTGTTTCTCTGTGCTTTCCACTGTTGCCATCACCAGGGTGTGGAGTCTCGCAAAGTTTCCCTAGTGAAAACCCTGTGGCCAGGCAGTGGTGGGGAATGCCTTTATTCCCAGCACTCGGGAGGCAGAGGCAGGTGGATCTCTGTGAGTTCAGGGCCAGCCTGGTCTACAAGAGCTAGTTCCAGGACAGGCTCCAAAGACACAGAGAAACCCTGTCTTGAAAATACAAAAAAAAAAAAAAAGAAAGGAAAGGAAGGAAGGAAGGAAGGGAAAAAAAGAAAAAGAAAAGAAAGGGGAAGGGAGGGGAGAAAGGAAGAAGAAAACTTGGTAACCCAGGTAGTTTATGCCTTTCATCCCAGCTTGGTCTATATGAGTTGAGTTCCAGGACAGCCAGAGCTACATAACAGAAAGCCTGTCTCAAAGAAAAGTAAATAAAATAAAAATAACTACTTTATTTAAAATAAAATAAAAACAGCCAGGTGGTGGTGGCTCGTACCTTTTAATTCCAAAGGCAGGTGGATCTCTTGAGTTCAAGGACAGCCTGGTCTACAGAGCTAATTCCAGGACAGGAAGGGCTTCCTAGAGAAATTCTGTCTCGAAAAACAAAAGAAAAAAATCTATATGTAGGTAAAACTTTCCAGCATCTATCCCTACAGGTTTGGTTTAAGTAAATGCCAAATACACGGAACTCAAGGGCTTCACCTCTTGTGCAACAGGAGCACCCTGAAACACCAAACAAATTGCCCTGGGATAAAGTAGACCTCCTAGGCTAGTTCTTGGGACATAAGACTGAGTCAGAAGCCAAACTCCACAAAGCTTGGTGGCACTCCTTTAAGTCCCAGCTATGCAGGAGGCTTAAGGGCAAGAATTGCTTGATCCCAGGAGTTCGAAACTAGTTTGAGGAGCCTCAGTCTATGAAGGATTTGTGTTCCTCAAACGAGTATTACAAAACCCCCTGGCATACAGTGTGTGAGAAACTCATTTAAGAAATTCCACTGGTGGCCGGGCGGTGGTGGCGCACGCCTTTAATCCCAGCACTTGGGAGGCAGAGGCAGGTGGATCTCTGTGAGTTCGAGACCAGCCTGGTCTACAAGAGCTAGTTCCAGGACAGGCTCCAAAACCACAGAGAAACCTTGTCTCGAAAAACAAAAAAACAAAACAACAAAAAAAAATTCCACTGGTTTGGCATGATAGTTCACTGTTCATCCCAGCAGAGGCAGAGGTAGGTAGATTTCTGAGTTTAAAGTCGAGACCCTGTCTCCAAAAAAGAATGAAGTCTTGGCCTCTGACGTCATTGTGGTGATACTTTGTGCTCTAACAAATAAAGCTTGCCTGAAGATCAGAGTGCAGAGCTAAGCCACTAGTTAGCCATAGAGGCCAGGCAGTGGTGGCACACACCTTGAATGCCAGTACTTGGGAAGATAAAGGCAGACAGACCTCTGTGAGTTCAAGGCCACCCTGGGCTACCCGAGATTGAATCTGCCTCTAAAAGAGAAACAGCTCACACCAAGGTGATCCCAGCACTTGGGATCCCATGCCTTTAATCCCAGCACTAGGGAAGAGGAGACAGGAGTGATATGGCTGGGCAGAGAGAAGAATATAAGGTGGGAGGAGACGGGCTCAAATGCAGTCTGAGGAGCAGTCTGAGATGCAGTCCGAGGAATCATAGAAACAGGATTGCCCCTTCAGTCTGAGCATTGGTAAAGGTAAGTACTCTCCAGTGGCTGGCTGCTCTGTCTCTCTGATTCTTCAGCTTACACCCCCCAATATCTGACTGAGTTTTGATTATTAAGGCCAATAAGAATTCACACTATACTTCATCCTCAACAATGTCAGTTGTAAGCCTGCACACATGTGTACGCATGCACAAATAAATACTGTGTGTGCATGAGTGTCTTGTGTGCCCCACATATGGGAGTGTCCATGGAGGCCAGAAGAGGATGTCAAATCCCCTGGAGCTGAAATTAAAAGCAGTTGTGGCCGGGTGGTGGTGGCGCACACCTTTAATCCCAGAACTTGGGAGGCAGAGGAATCTCTGTGAGTTCAAGGCCAGCGTGGTCTACAAGAGCTAGTTCCAGGACAGGAACCAAAAAAAGCTACGGAGAAACCCTGTCTCGAAAAATAAATAAATAAATAAATAAATAAAAAGTAAAAAATAAATAAAATAAAAGCAGTTGTGACTCCGCCAACACCACCACCATGTGGGTGCTGGGGATTAAACGTAGGCCCGTCTGCAAGAACAATACAGGAAGACCCTAGGTCAGTTGCCAGCACCCACAGGTAGCTCACAATCGTCTATTCCAGCTCCAGAGGATCTGATGCACTATTTGGCCTCTTGGGCACCCATACACATACTCATACACACACACACACACACACACACACACACACACACGAGACACATCTGTCTTTTAGATGACTTCACATCCAGTCAAAATGACCATCATGCCCCTCTACTACAAAATAAAGTATTGATTCCTTTTCAAAATGTAGGTTCCAAGCCAGGCAGGCGGTAGTGGCGCCTGCCTTTAATCCCAGCACTTGGGAAGTAGAGGAAAGTAGAGGGAAGTAGGGAACTTTCTGTGAGTTCAAGGCCAGCCTGGTATACAGAGTGAGTTTCAGGACAGCCAGGGCTGTTACACAGAGAAACCCTGTCTCAAAAATAAATAAATCTAAAAAAAAAAACAACAAATGAATGAATGAATGAATGAAATGTGGGTTCCAGAAGCTGGAGATATGGTCTGCAGTTAAAAGCACTGGAAACTCTTTCAAAGGACCCAGGTTCAATTCCCAGCATACACAAGGTGGCTCCTAACTGCTTAACTCCAGTTCCAAGGAATCTGATGCCTTCTGTAGACACCACACATACACATGGACCACAGACATACCTTTTTCTTTTTTTTAATTTATTTATTTTTATTATATATACAATGGTCTGCTTGCATGTGTCCCTGCAGACAGAAGTTGGCATCAGATCTTATTACTGGTGGTTGTGAGCCACCATATGGTTGCTGGGAATTGAACTCAGGACCTCTGGAGGAGCAGTCAATGCTTTTAACCACTGAGTCATCTCTCCAGCCCTCTTTTCTTTTCTTTTTTAAGACAGGCTATGTAACTCTGGATGTCCTAAAACTCAGTACGTAGATTCCAGCTAGTCTCAAAATTCACAGAAATCTGTTAAAAGTTTTAATTTTCCTTTTTTAAAAATTAGACAAAAGGGGGAAATGCTGTGGATTATGTTCTTTGCTATTAAAAAAAACAATTGGCAGGCCGATAGCAGGCCAAAAAGAGACTGGGTGAGGCAGCCTGACGCAGAGAGAATGATGGGAGGAGGAAGGGCAGAGTCGGGAGAGGAGAGAGAGAAAAAGAGAGAGAGCTGTCAGCTACCAAGCAAGCATGACATGTAGAAAATGAGTTAACAAGCCATGAGCCACATGGCCAAACATAACTAGAAATATGGGCTAATTTAAATGTAGGAGTTAGCTAGTAACAAGCCTGAGCTACTGGCTGAGCATTTATAAGTGATATTAAGCCTCTGTGTCAGTTATTTAGAAGCAGTTCCTGGGACAGGAAAACTCAGCCTATAGAGACACCGCCCCCCCAGCCCCCCTTCCCCTTCTCTGCCTCCCAGGTGCTGAGATTAAAGGTATGTCCTTTTTTTTTTTTGCTTTTTGTTTTGCTATTTTGGAGACAGGATTTCTCTATGTAGCCTTAGCTTGTCCTGGAACTCACTCTATAGATCAGGTTGGCCTCAAACTCAGAGATCCTCCTACCTCCGCCTCCCAGATGCTGGGATTAAAGGTGTGTGCCACCACCACCCTGTGGGTTTTCTTATTTTGACAAAAAGCTTGATCATCAACATCTAACACATATAGACTAACACCGGTAGGATCTCACTAAATATTTGTTGAATGAAGAATGAACTGGGAGTAAGAGGGGGATTTAGGAAATGTCTGTTTAGTGAGCACCTACTATGTACCAGAGTTTGGGATGTGTCTTTTTGTTTATTTGCTTGGGTTTTTTTATTTTTTTGAGATGAGGTCTTACTGCATGGTCCTGGTTTGCCTTGAGTTCTCTTGATAGACCAGAATGGCCTCAAACTCATAAGGATTTGTCCACCTCTGCTTCCCAAGTACTGGGATTAAAGTGTTGCCATCACACTCAAGGCATTTGGAGGGTTTTTGACAAGAAGTCTTATGTTGTAAAATAGACTAGCCTGACAATTGCTATGTAGTCCAGGTTGGCTTTGAACTTAAAAGTGATCCTCCTAGGGGCTGGAGAGATGGCTCAGAGGTTAAGAGGATTGCCTGATCTTCCAAAGGTCCTGAGTTCAATTCCCAGCAACCACATGGTGGCTCACAACCATCTGTAATGGGGTCTGGTGCCCTCTTCTGGCCTGCGGGCATACACACA